GAGACTCACGACTTGTGAGTACGGGAATTGCAATCCCGAGGTACCCTAGCCGGATACTCATTGATCTTCAACTTGTCTTTGGTGGTATCCTCTTCACTCTTCAGTTTTCAATCTTTTGTATCGGCCTCTCTTGGCCAATTCTTCTTTTTTTCTTCTCCCCTAAAGCCCAACCTCACAATAGTGTGGGGAGGACAGATTGAGCATTTTGGGAACATCTTTGCTCTTATCACTCAGATGGGACAGTTTTGTGGACATCTGAGTGCAAGGATGGGGCAATTTGTGAACATCTGCGTATGTGGCCGCGGATTGATAACGAGGCTCTGGCAACCTAATCCAAGTTTTGGGAACCCGTGACTAGGAATGAATGGCACCAAGGTTATATGGTGTCGATAACGGGACCTCTGGGAAACAGGGCGACATCTCATAGTAAACAGCCACCACAGGGCTGGACCAAACCTTTCCCCATTACTCGTAGGAGAAGGAAAACTTTTGTCTTTTTCATGGACAAGACCAGGGCTCGGAAGAGTAGTCTTCAGGAACCTGAATGAAAAGGGTCTTCCAAACGAACCTCTGGTATTGTGTGCAGCAGTGCTCACAGTTACTGTGTCGGCATTTGAAGTGGCCCCTATATAAGAACCATGGGTCGTATATGGTAAAATCGATAAAGGCATAATCGAGGTTCAATGGTATTTGAACAATGGAAGCGGAAGAAATATCGACCTATGGATACTTATCCAATAATAAAGTAGTTACGATAATTTGACAGTGAATATTTGTGAGGCTACTTGAATGAACAGGTTTATGAGTCGCCAATTGTGAATATGGAAGAAATGAAAGAGTAAATCACAAAGGACTCCGCACGAAAACATGGTAAATTGGCTCTAGTGTGCTACATTTAGTACATATTATAACATATACATATAATATCATTGGTCAGCAATATGCAGTATGTGAAATTCACCTACATATCGATTAGAATTAATCAATCACATAATGTCGCTCGATGCAACAACATCTAGCATACTTGTATACATATGACGAATAAATAGCTAGTGACCATATATAGTGTGTATGATCAATGCACCCCAATTCGACGACATTACATGGCGATCCTGCCAGGATCGCCATATAATGTCGCTCGATGCAACAACATCTAGCATACTTGTATACATATGACGAATAAATAGCTAGTGACCATATATAGTGTGTATGATCAATCCACCCCAATTCGACGACATTACACTAGGTCGAATTGGCTGAAATTTTACTATGTTGTTGTGGGTTGGCTCATTAGAAAAATATATGAGTTTAGAAAGTTTTGTATGCTTAGTTTCTGAGAGATAAGCTGACAAAGTTCTTAAAACCGTCGTATCGTGGTAGGATTGACGAAGAGAAAGAGTTTTATTAGGATCAAAAGTTGAACTTTGTTTGACAAGCGAATTTTGCATTTGCGAGGCGGAGCGTGTAGCGCCAAATTCTACCTGCATTGCCAGATCAGGTTCATTCAACTTTCAAGGATGTTGGAATTGTAGTTTCAATATGAATACAACCACAGAGTGAACCATTTGTGTATTCTATTGAATCGATGATTTTATTTGGACCAGGTGTCAGCCCTAATAGCAAATTCAGCGCCAGTGTCAGGTAATTTCCACTCTAGCACTCCAGCAAGGCTGTCAAGTCACCAATTATAATCAAGTTATCAAAAAGATTTTGGAGTCCTATCGTTGAATAAAACTTTATAGGAGGAACCCATGATGTTTTAGTTCATTCTTGACTTTTACGAGCAACCAGCATGTCTTATTCTCCATAATAAAATATTATGTGAATATAGGAGACTTGGCAACATTGTGCTGGATGCTGTGAACTGACAAGACCACGCCCACAAGTCGTGCGCCGTGGTTGTCACGTTCACCGATTCAAATGTCATCTAGTGTGACATTATATAATTATTATCTACACAAATTTATTAAAAGCAATAAGCCACAAATCATAAGGGACCATTTTGAGACAATTAAATTTTTATTGCTTATCAGGAGTATTACCAATACTCAATTGAGAATTTATGAATCATCAAATAACTAATATTCCTGAAGTTCACAATCGTATTTCAACACATGGCAACTGTGCTATGGTCTGCCACTACTTACGAAACCGTAGTAATATTCTTTCAATCTGAACTAACTGAAATATTTCACTAGAACTGAACTGAATCGTTCTTTCGAATGACGTTCATTATGTACAATGCATGTCAACTGATCCAGTTCAGTTCAAGTGAAATGTGTCAGTTAGTTCAGAATGAAAGAATATCACTCGTGGCGTCAGTTTATACTGGCGGTTAATTTCTAGCCGTTTGAAAATTACCGTGGCATTATTGATGACTTTAGCGCCTAAAAATCGCCAAAGAATTCTTGAAAATTATGAAATTGAAAGGTATTTGGGTGATGATTATGATAAGGAAATTAAAAAAATCTGTCCACTCCCCTATTCGAGAGGGTTCTTCCATGTATCATTTTTCAACATCAAAATATAAACATAATGATACCCTCCAAAAGGCATACTGGAGAAAATCCGAAAACCTGTCACACCTGCCGGTCTATTTGCTACAAACCCCTCGCTGTAGACTAAAAAAATCCGAAAAAAATAGTTTGAATCTATCCCTATACAATCAGCTACAGTGTTCCAGAATATTTATTCAAAAAGGTCCTTTGATATACTTAGTGAGTCGCTAACTCACGAATTGTAATCTAAACTTTATTATTTTGTCAAATGTAAGCCTGCCTGTTTTTGGCACCTTCATTCATGAATGAATCATTTTCATCATATTTTATTCTAGTTATTTTCCCATTTATATGTTATATAAACTACTTACCAGATGAAGTGGGACAGCCAAAAAATTGACTAATTTTGATAAGCTATAACTCGAACATTTCTTGGCCGATCTTGGATATTCAACCAAAGGTAGAAAGCGTCATCCTTGGGCTATGCGTCATTGGCGTCGGGTTTTCATTTTTGCGATTTGTTCTCTTTGTACAGAGTGTAAATTAAGAGCCGGAAAAATTTCAAATTTTTGACCAATAATTTGGGAAATGTGAGGGATCCTAGAATTATTTTTTAGATGTTGGGTGAATGGTTGGTCCCATACCTCGAGACGTCTTTGAAATTTTTTTGATAAATTGCGTTGCTATGGAAAAATCACCATTTTATGAAATTCCATTTTTATTTCAAAATGTGACCTCTTTTAGTTGAACAATAATAGCCAACATCTAAACTGCAACAAAGGATATTTCTACTGAAGATAATCAACACCAGTGACGCGCAAAAAGGGGTTTATGATATTTAGAAATGAAAAATTTGTTTTTATTGAAAAAATTCAACAGTTTTATTGATCGTTACAGTTGAAGAGGTATCATACCCTCAATTAGCATATGTTGTCAAATTCAGAGGCGTCCAAAAAAGGGGCGTATGATATTTAGAAACAAAAAAAAAGTTTTTATCTAGAAAAATCAACAGTTTTATTGATCGTTACAGTTACAAAATTGCCATACATTTGATTAGCATGATGTTGACAAATTCAGAGGCGTGCAAAAGATGATCCTGTGATGTAGACAGATTGAAATTCCACTTCCATAATTCATTTTATTTTCATGTATTTACTAAGGTGCATACATGTAATTATTTCTTTTCTAATGAATCCATCGGCGTACAAAAAAAACCATATGCTCACGTACGTTAGAGAACGTGTAAAAAATTCCTTGAGCGTGGGTATTTTTGATAAGCCTCGTATCCCTGGCCATGTATGGGCCTGCTGAATTTTATTTTAGGGGGTCTGAGTAGTGAGAATGAGAAAAAATATTTATCTAAAAAAAATGCTTTATCAGAAAAAGGACTAGGAAATTATTGAAGAAATAATACTTGAATTTTTTTGGGGGGCAAAAATTGAAGATTTTTTCAAATTTTTTCAGACAAAATTATCAAATTGCACGGCTCGAGAAACATCAGGAGCCAAAGTTACGATCCTGAATATTCATTCATGAATAATGATACAAGAAAATTTTCACTGGGCGAACAAAGAACAACTCTTGACAAAATTATTAAAAATATTTCCATATCAAACTTTTTGAATTGCCTTGAATGATGGATCCTCTTTGAAACGCCAAAGGATTACTTCGATGCTCACCTTGAATAAGTGAAAAACATTGATAATGAGAATAGCATTTCAATTTGTCCACATTACAGAATCACTATTTGCACGCCTCTGGATTTGTATACATCATGCTAATTGAATATATGGCATTTTTCTAACCGTAACAATCAATAAAACTGTTGAATTTCTTCAATAAAAACGAATTTTTCGTTTCAAAATATCATAAACCCCTTTTTGCACGCCACTGGTATTAATTACCTTTAGTTGAATTATCACTTGTTGCAGTTTAGAGGTTGGCTGTTATTGTTTCACTAAAAGAGGCCACATTTTGAAATAAAAATGGAATTTCATAAAATGGCGATATTTCCATAGCAACGCAATTTATCAAAAATATTCCAAAGACGTCTCGAGGTATCGGACCAACCATTCACCCAACATCTGAAAAAGAATTCTAGGGTCCCTCACATTTCCCAAATAATTGGTCAAAATTTTGAAATTTTTCCGGCTCTTAATTCACACTCTGTACAGAGAGAACGAATCGCAAAAATAAAAACCCGACGCCAATGACGCATAGCAGAAGGATGACGCTTTCTACCTTTGGTTGGAAATCCTACATCGGCCAAGAAATGTTCGAGTTATAGCTTATCAAAATCAGTCAATTTTTTGGCTGTCCCACTTCATCTGGTAAGTAGTTTATTTTATCATCATTGTGTTATTGTTTTTCACATGTTTTTGTTCTTTATAAGTATTTTATTACGAACATGAATATTATCTTTGTTACATTTTGACTTGTACTAAACATTTACATGTAACAGTGTTAAATAAATCGTGGATCCTCTTGGATTCCGTGTTGCAGATGCCTGTTTGTGCAAGAAGACGCTCACGACTATGGCGTGCAATACTGTGATATTTCCCCTAACCTCGAACCCATCCTCAATGCCGTGAGCGATGCCCAGTCTTACTTGTTGGCCACCTGCGGCAACGATAGCCTCGTCAAGTTGTGGAGGATAACCGTTCCCAAGGTAATTACTCAAAAATAAAAACATGCATAGGATCAATTCAATTTGACCTCGGATATCACAGAAAAAGAATTTCGATGTTCTAAATCATTAGCTATAACACCTATCATTATTTACTGCTTCTCGAGGTGTAAAGTCTATTTTTACTACTGAGGTAGTTTTCGGCATTTAAGGAACCACTAGTTAATAAAGACATAGCCACCCCTGTTGTAATTAACCCGAATTCAACGCTCTTTCTGTATGGGTAAACTAGATACGGTATTCCAGGCAGAAGTATACGCCATTGAAATGTATGCAAGGGAGCTGGAAAACCGATACCGCACACGAAAAACAATAAAAGTATTTTCAGATAGTCAAGCAGCACTGAAAGCACTGAATCCAACTGATTTGAATACAGAGCCGTATGGAACTGCAGAGAAACCTTAAACCGACTGGCACAACGCAATAACGTTAACCTAGTCTGGATACCAGGTCATACGGGCCTAGAAGGAAACGAAACAGCGGACGTCCTAGCAAAAGGGAGGGCCGAAACATCGTTCACTAGGCCAGAACCGGTAATCGGTATAGCATAAAGCACTGGCAAGAATGTTATAACACGAGTATATTGATGTAGTCTACCGGACCTAGTCCATTCCAAAGCATTCACTGCTTGTACAAGGAACAAACAGGACGAACTACTAGAACTCAGTAGAGCACATCTCAAAGTTATAGTAGGTTTGCTCACTGGCCACTGCAAACTCAAAAACCACATGCACAAAATCGGACTTGCAGAAGATGCAGAGTGCCGTATATGCATGGAGGAGGATGAAACGGCTAAAAACATTTTATGTACATGCCCTGCAGCGGCCAGAATGAGATTTTCAACATTTGGCAATACAACAGTACAACTCCTTAGTGTCGGCAAGAAATTAGATATGTTGGGAGAAATATAACCATAAGGTGAGCCACAATAGGCGATTGGCCGCTGTGGAGGGGCGGACATGGGCCCACTCAGCTTTAAACTTAACCTTACCTAACCCGAATTCTCATGCGAGATTCTCAGGAATGGCACTCGAATCTAGTAGGTTATTTATCAATAACGACTTGTCATAGCTACTAGATGTCAATCAGAATCATTTCAGTATCACCGAACTAAAATGATTGAAATATATTGCTAGTGGTGAAGGAAATTTAATATACACATTGGTAACAAAGAATATTATTATCACGGGACAACATACCCTTCTGGTGAAGCCTCTGGATATAATCTTGGTCCCTGGGTAATACTGATATTCTTTACTACCTTGGTGTATAAATAACTATTTTTTTATCATAAATCATCAGTCATTTATTTGACCACTCTACTGGACCGTCAAATATGAGTTCACTTCATTTATAAATTCCTTGTAGCCTCTCTTCAACCGTTTGTTAACATCTTTATCCTGTTTTGATCCGTTCTTCAAGTACTCCTTCTCGTAATAATCTTGGTTGAGTTCCCGCATTCATTACAGCACCACAAAAAAACATGTTATATAAGTATTTCATAACTACCTCAAAATGTGTTTCAAAACACAGCAGTTCAGCACTTAATGACTAGGCCAAGACTCCCTGCTTCGTCTTCTAGGTGAACGATAGGATACTCACCAGGTCTCTCTTCAGTGCAAGCCGTGGTGCTCGCTCTGAGGCCAGAACGAACTTCTACTTCCTAAGTACATTCATTCTTGTGATAATCTTGTTTGACTCCCCTCCTTGCCTTCCAGGTGAACGGTATGCCCCGCCAGGCCTCTCTCGAGTGCAAGCTGCATCGTTCGCTCCAAGGTCAGAACGACCTTCTACTTCCTAAGTGCATTCATTCTTGTTTTCTAAGTGAACGGTACGCTCCGCCAGGCCTCTCTCGAGTGCAAGTCGTGGCGTTCGCTCCAAGGCCATTCCTTCTCGTTATAATCTGTGTCGAGTTCCCACGTTCATTAAAGCACCCTGAAAAATATGCTATACATAGCCGATCAGTACTATGACTAGACTAAGACTACCTGCTTCGTCTTCTAGGTGAACGATAGGATACTCACCAGGTCTCTCTTCAGTGCAAGCCGTGGCGCTTGCTCCTAGGCCAGAACGACCTTCTACTTCCTAAGTGCATTCATTCTCGTGATAATCCGTTACCACCCATACAAGAAGGCCTGCATGCTCCGTGGGTGACGTCACTTAGTGAGGCCTAACCAGCGGCTCGAAACGACAAGCGCTTATAGCGCTATAAGGCGACCGCGTATTTCGATTTTAGTTTTAGATCATCATTGAGCCGATTTTGCTGTTTTTTGAAGGGCTTCCGGTTAAAAAAGGATGCCAGTCGTCAACTGAGCCCTTCTTCGCACCCCATTCGATTTTATTATGGAAAAACGAAGTTTTAAAGCAAAAACCAGGATACAACACTTTCCACCTACAGCAACCCATTCGAATTAAATATATTGGCAAAAATTGTGGTGAAGGTAAACTTCACACCTACTTATACAGGGCCCGCAGAACATAAACTTATCGTGAGATTGACATGCCGTTTGTTACAATTACCTATATTTATCTTGGAGGTTTCCTACTACCTGAAAAAATAACCAGTGAGTGTTTTCAATTTTCTGTTGTTGGATATTCCACCCAAGTGGATCGTTACACTTGAAACCGTAATTTTTAAGGGTAAAACTGCATTTATCATGCGATGGTTTTTTTTTTTTAATTTTTTTCGGTACTCACGTATTTTTGTCGATAAACCGAATTTTATAATGAAGATGTGAACAAACCACATTTATTGAGATATTTCAAGAAAAAGTTCGAAATTTCGCCTTCTTTCTCCCCTTGTGTTGGGGGCATTTGAAGCTACTTGCTCTTATTTTGTCATTGGACACTTTATATCCTCATGATGTACTTCGATGGCACATTTTTATATAGAAAATTCAACAGGAAATATGATTTTTATGGCGAGTTTTTCATATTCGGTGAACAATCATATAAGATTACGGCCATTTAATCAATAGTCAATCAAAATACGAGATGTCAAATGTCAATAGATTGCTTTCGAATGACATTACACACGCCATTATTATGAATGATATTCTTCCTTCTTTTCACTAAATATGGATAAATCTCAAGAAAATCATATTTATAGTTGAATTATATATAAATTGTCCAATATGATGAAAAAAGAAGGGAAATTTGTTCTAAATGCCATCTAGAAGACAGGTGAAAAAGAAAAAGAAGATAAATGCAGTTTTACCTTTTTAAGTAGAGTGTTTGTAGTTCATGTTAATATGATAGTTGCAATTTGATCATTGGAATGAATTCTGCATTCATTGCCACGAGGCAAATGACCGTTTTCAGAAAGAAATTTGAGAATGAGAATTGAAAATGCCCGTTTATTATGAACATTCAAGAAAATTTTCTCGAATTCAGAGATGATTTTGTTGACTATAATATACGAATACAAAACTAACTGCACAATCAAAGCTTTTCTATTTTTCCTCTACTTATACTTTTTATGAGAGAGTAATTGTCTTCTATTATTAATTCATCATTATAAATTGAGCTCTGTTTACTACTGAACTTAGATGGAGTAAAATCTTCGCGGTGAATTGCATATACCCACATTTTCGATAGCTCCTCGTCCAACGGGAAACTAAAAGCATGAACTTTTGAACAACCCACATAGTTCCCCCGACAAAAGAGAACAAAACACTTAAAAGGCATTGTTATTTCGCCGATTACAACACAAAATATTTCACAAAAAAGTAATTTTTCCGCCAATTATTTTGATGAATAAACAACAAAAGAATTCGGGACCGTTTCAAAAACATACGTGAATCACCGATGAATTAACACGAACTGACGCGTTAGGCGACAAGCGATAAAATAAAATACTGGCCTCTCTTGGTGACGTCACGAGCTGTTTACGTCAGAGTCTGCTGGCCTTGTTGTATCGGTGGTAACGGATAATCTCGATTGACACTCCTCATTGTCTTCCAGATGAACGGTATGCCCCGCCAGGCCTCTCTCGACTGCAAGCTACATTGTTCGCTCCGAGGTCAGAACGACCTTCAACTTCCTAAATGCATTCATTCTCGTTTTCTAGGTGAACGATACGCTCCGCCCGGCCTCTCTCGAGAGCAAGCTGCATCGTTGGCTCCAAGGTTAGAACGACCTTCTACTTCCTAAGTGCATTAATTCTCGTTTTCTAGGTGGACGGTACGCTCCGCCAGGCCTCTCTCGAGTGCAAGTCGTGGCGATCGCTCCAAGGCCACGGCGGCAACGTGGTGTGCGTTCGCTTCTCGCCCGAGGTGGGCGAGTTCTTGTGTTCGACGGCGACCGACAGACAGGCTCGGGTGTGGTCGGTGTACGGCTCGGAGTGCCTCCACGTGCTGGATCATGACTCGATCGTGACGGCGTGCTCGTTCAACGCGGATTGCTCGCTGCTGGCCACCGGCTGTTTGGACAAGAGCTTGTGGGTGTGGAGGTTGCCGCAGCAGTTGGTGAGAACCGCACTTCTGATTCATACAGGGTGTTTAAAAAAACCTAAACCCCTTCTAGGGTAGGTAGAACATTGCAAGATAATTACTGTGTGGGTTAATCGAGGAGGTGGTACATTCATTATTCCAGATTTTTTTTCTGAATTTCTCTCCTCGTCTGTATAAAATAAAAATATGCGACACTCAGGGGTACCAGGTAACGAAATGGCCGATGGTCTGGCCAGAAAGGGGGCGAAGGGTTCAGTGATTGGCCCAGAGCCAATCTTAGGGGTCACTCGATCCTGGAGCAACTTCAAGATGAAGGAAATCCTGACGGAAAGGTTTCAGGACAGCTGGAGAAAGGCTCCTCGAATGAGGCAGTCCAAACTCCATACAGGAAACCCGTCACGAAGACAGACCAATGCCCTATTGGCTTTGAACAGGAAGGAGCTGAAACTGGTGGTGGGCCTTTTGACAGGGCACTGCCACCTGAACAAACATCTCAGCATGATCGGGATTGTGGAGGATCCTGAATGCAGATGGTGCCTAGAGGATGAAGAGACTTCTACTCACATCCTCAGTGAATGCCCGGCAATAGTGGCAGCAAGGGATACCAATTTGGGAGCAGTATCCTGGACCCAGAGGGTGTTAAGAAGATTTGGCCTAGGAAGTTGGTCTCTTTTGCTCGCGAGATCGGCCTTCTCCATGGCTGACTTGCGATCCCAGGAATGTGGGTGCACAATGGGCCCGAAAAGGGAGGCCTAAGTGCGTCAGGTCCCGGACCGCCCACACACATACATACATACATACATGCATGCGTATTATTTCAATACAAGGTGTTTTTGAAATGAGTGCACATATCCAGCACAATAATATAATACAGTCTAGGGAATTAACGAGACATTTCATACCAAATATTGATACGAGAAAAAAATTGAGTGCGCCTTTAAAACAATTTAAATAATTGAACTCCGCGTGATTGTGCCTACCGCACAGAAATTTGAACAGAGGTGGCGTCTGATTTGCTACAGTGTAGAACTTTGGGTGGAAAAAGGGGTCTGACCTCCAATTCTATTTTGATCCCTAAATTTTATTAGTGCCATTTGATAGTACACGTCGAGCTCTCTCACTTATTTTAATGTCACCCTGTATATTTGTAGTGGGACAAATCAGTTGATTTGCCCCAAAATGTCACTGCGTTCAAAAAATTCTTCTGTGAGTGACCCTAAAAGAAAAATCTAGTAGCTTGCAGTGACACTTTGTTTGAAAAATGTTTTGACGGAAAGAAATATAGGTATATTGAAAAACTATCGAATTTTTACTTATCTTTGGACGTTTCGGGAACGAAACTGCTCCCGTTCTCAACATGAAAATGCAAAGTATTTTTCTTTGGAAGTTGTGCTCTGCTTATAGTTGGACACATCTCAGTGTCATACTGATGTTGGCATATGAATAAGTGATTTCAGTCTACAAATGAGTTACAGGATGTTTTCATTAATTGATCTTGAATCTACCATTTTCAAACGTTGGCAACTTTTTCTTGAAACTCACTATACCGCGAACGAAATTTCCATAACTTCGTTTTTGAGATACAGGGCAAAATTGAAAATGTTGCATTTTGGGACCACTCCTGTGTCTCAATTATCTTTCAACTTATCGAAAAAGTAGTCAGGTTTCCAAAATGAGCTGTTATTATTCAGATATAACTCTGAGATATGTTTTTTCAATTGGAACAACCAGCCATACTGTGCTCTCCTTGTTCAAAGCCATCGATCATAATGTCAATAACTAAAATATGAATTGAATTCATTCGCCTTGAAATGATTACTCTGTCCATTTCCATCGGTAGATAACGTAACATCAGGAAGGGCTTCATCCTTTCTGCATAAGAGAGCAGGTCACTTTTTCCAATTAATCTAACCTAACTCCCTAATATACAGATAATATAAGGAAGGAAAGTATCCTTTTTGCATTAAATAAGAGATTACTGTTCCGAAACAATCTGACGTAACTCGGCCTGAATGATTCTTCTTTCAAAAAAGTATACTTTTCAGAAAATTACTCGAGACAATATAATCAAAGGAAATTGACCCTCACAGGGATTGAACCCGAGCCGAAGACGTGGTAGGCAGATCCACAGCTCGATATGTACCATTCGCATCCTTGAAATCTTTTTTATGAAGAAAGAATTGCATCTCGCAGATATCGCGTATTGTCAGTGACGTCATGTACTAGCGAGAATTCAGAGAGACACCGATGGAAATGGTGTAGGTAGATGCTTGTATTATTTATTGAATTAATAATATGACTAATACAAGGTTGTTGGTAGGCGTAACACGACGAAATACAAAATGAAGGATAATTCCACGGGTTTTCAAAGAAAGTCCTATGTTGCGGAACATTATTCTATAGATTCTGACTGAACACAACGTATATTTCTTGTTTTATTGTCTCACAAATATTTGAGTTACGTTGCGTTGCCATCATCCTCGTTCTATATCAATAAAACTTAGTTAGTAGGCGAGAGGTATAATAATGTCTGTTCATTGATCCAAAATTTCACTGCCTGTCAAAGGCGCTAGTTTACTAAAAACATTAACAGCTCATTTGAGTAGGAACTGGAAACTCATCAGTGCTATGATGATACATTACTGTTCGCCCCCCTTTTTTTTAATTTGACTCGCCGTTACTTGATGGAAATCCATGGCAAAATTAAAAACTCCACAAACGATAAGATTTCCACGAAATTCTCAATCACGTGACATGGGTCGCTAACACTTTTATATATCCTACTTTCCAAACCTGAAAGATTAGAATCACCTGTGGACAGGTCGTTACCACCGATACAACAAGGCCAGCAGACTCTGACGTAAACAGCTCGTGACGTCGCCAAGAGAGGCCAGTGTTTTATTTTATCGCTTGTCGACTAACACGTCGTTCGTGTTAATTCATCGGTGATTCACGTATGTTTTTGAAACGGTCCCGAATTCTTTTGTTGTTTATTCATCAAAATAATTGGCGGAAAAATTACTGTTTTGTGAAATATTTTGTGTTGTGATCGGCGAAATAACAATGCCTTTCAAGTGTTGTGTTCCCTTTTGTCGGGGGAATTATGTGGGTGGTTCAAAAGTTCATGCTTTTAGTTTCCCGTTGGACGAGGAGCTATCGAAAATATGGGTAGGTATGTGCAATTCACCGAGAGGATTTTACTCCATCTAAGTTCACTAGTAAACAGAACTTGATTTATAATGATGAATTAATAATAGAAGACAATTACTCTCTCATAAAAAGTATAAGAAGAGGAAAAATAGAAAAGCTTTGATTGTGCAGTTAGTTTTGTATTCGTATATTATAGTCAACAAAATCATCTCCGAATTCGAGGAAATTTTCTTGAATGTTTATAACAAACGGGCATTTTTAATTCTCATTCTCAAATTTCTTCCTGAAAACGGTCATTTGCCTCATGGCAATGAATGCAGAATTCATTCCAATGATCAAATTGCAACTATCATATTAACATGAACTACAAACACTCTACTTAAAAAGGTAAAACTGCATTTATCATGATATTTATCATGAAGATATTTGACTAAAAAGTTCCAAATTTCACCTTCTTTTTCACCTGTCTTCTGGATGGCATTTAGAACAAATTTCCCTTCTTTTTTCATCATATTGGACAATTTACATATAATTCAACTATAAATATGATTTTCTTGAGATTAATCCATATTTAGTGAAAAGAAGGAAGAATATCATTCAAAATAATGGCGTGTGTAATGTCATTCGAAAGCAATCTATTGACATTTGACATCTCGTATTTTGATTGACTATTGATTAAATGGTCGTCATCTGGAATGCTTGTTCACTAAATATGAAAAACTCGCCATAAAAATCATATTTCCTGTTGAATTTTCTATATAAAAATGTGCCATCGAAGTACATCATGAGTATATAAAGTGTCCAATGACAAAATAAGAGCAAGTAGCTTCAAATGCCCCTAACACAAGGGGAGAAAGAAGGCGAAATTTCGAACTTTTTCTTGAAATATCTCAATAAATAGTTGTTTGTTCACATTTTCATTATAAATTTCGGTTTATCAGGAAAAAATACGTGAGTACCGAAAAAAAATTTCAAAAAAAAGAAACCATCGCATGATAAATGCAGTTTTACTCTTAAAAATTACTGTTTCAAGTGTAACGATCCACTTGGGTGAAAAATCCAACAACAGAAAATTGAAAGCACTCACTGGTTATTTTTTCAGGTAATAGGACTCTCCAAGATAAATATAGGTAATTGTAACAAACGGCATGTCAATCAAAATAAAATACATTTTCCACAATTTTCTTTCGATCAATCTCACGATAAGTTTATGTTCTGCGGGCCCTGTATAAGTAGGTGTGAAGTTTACCTTCACCACAATTTTTGCCAATATATTTAATTCGAATGGGTTGCTGTAGGTGGATATTTGTGTTTTATCCTGGTTTTTGCTTTAAAACTTCGTTTTTCCATAATAAAATCGAATGGGGTGCGAAGAAGGGCTCAGTTGACGACTGGCATCCTTTATTAACCGGAAGCCCTTCAAAAAACAGCAAAATCGGCTCAATGATGATCTAAAACTAAAATCGAAATACGCGGTCGCCTTATAGCGCTATAAGCGCTTGTCGTTTCGAGCCGCTGGTTAGGCCTCACTAAGTGACGTCACCCACGGAGCATGCAGGCCTTGTTGTATCGGTGGTAACGGACAGGTTCGATAAACTTTCTTTTTCGGAAATTAGGCACAATATCTACATTAAAATACGGTGCACCGAATTAACTTTCACGTTCTTGAACGGACCACTCCATTATAGCGACTGATATTCTGTAGATACACTACTAAAAATTGTTCGATTTTGTGGGATTATCCAGCGTATTTTAATAAATCTGAAACCATCTAGGAACACTCTGAACCAATTTTGCCTGGGTCTATTCGAAAACTTCATGGACTTTCATAAACGTATTTTCAGGTATTCCAAACTGCTATCGCGGGAAAAATCCATTTCAGGGCGAAGCAACTCATCGATTGGTCCACCAGCGACCTCATAAAATGGTTGAAAGACGTCAACATGGACGACCTATCAGCCTCCATTCAAAACACTTCACTAGATGGCAAAAAGATCCTAACCATGACGGAAGAGCAGATATGCAGTGGACTCGACTTAGGTAAGAAGAAGATCGTTCTCTCAATGATTTTTACCTCCTTGGCATGATATACTAATTAAAATACTTGATTTTTCTTTCGCAGATGAAGAGACAACCGAGAAACTCACCAAGGAACTGCGCTGGCTCAAAAAGGGGACTCACATGGCCGAACCATTCGAAGACCGTCTGACTGACATTCCTCATGAGTTTCTCTGCCCTATCACACACGAGGTGAGTTAAAGTATAATTCTCAGAGGAGGCTCATTCTGGTGATAATGGTTATTGAAACTATAATCATGGCGGATTCTTATTCTGATATCCACATCATTTCCCAATGCTGGATATGTCTAATTCTAATGACCAAGAGTTTCCAATATTATTCTCTCAGATGTCTGTAACTGACATAGTGATGATTCTATTTATACAGGGTCGCTGATATGTATGGAAACAGGTGAATATCTTAGTAACATGTTGTTGGATTTTTTTGAATTTATGTACAGTGTGATTTCAAAACGTGGCGGATTTGGAAATGTTATAGCCAATGTTGCCACTTTTTCAGTTATTCCGGATTTTTTATGAACTTCCTTATTTTGAATGAAACACCCAGAACTTTATTGAATTTTCAGATTCTCCTTGAAGAGCTGATTCCATCGATCTATCACACTTGGGAGTCTAGCGGGAATGATTACATAGGTATAGGGTGTTTAAAATCTAGATTTCTCAATTTTAGGATTTTTTGTGTCGAAACTATCCATTATCGATCGAAACCGCTGCAATGTTCCTATATTTTCTTTTGATTTACAATTTACTGACATTTAATTGGAACAAATACAGAGTGGTTCAAGATTTAGAATTCTGATCACCCTCTGTATCTGTTCCATTTAAATGTCAGTAGATAGTAAATCAAAAGTAAAGATAAGAATATTAGAGCGGTTTTGATCGATAATGGATAGTTTCGATACCAAAAAATCCTGAAGTTGAAAAATCTAGATTTTAAACACCCTATACCTATGTAATCATTCCCGCTAGACCCCAAGTGTGATAGATCGATGGAATCAGCTCTTCAAGGAGTATCTGAAAATCCAATAAAGTACAGGGTGTTTTATTCAAAATGAGGAAGTTAATAAAATTCCGGAATAACTGAAAAAGTGGCAACATTGGCTATAACACTTTCAAATCCGCCACATTTTGAAATCACACTGCACATAAATTCAAAAAAATCCAACGACTGGTTACCGAGATATTCACATGTTTCCATACAAATCAGCGACCCTGTATAATAAAGAAAAATCAGTCCACTCGCCTATTCCTCTCTCCAGGCAATATCGCTATAAAAACTAATTCATTTCCAAAACTTTTCAAAATAGAACGAATTTCACCAATTCATAAATCTGGAAATCCCAACATAACCAATCATAGGCCTGTCACAAAAGCTCCCTCAAAAGTGTTTGAAATTTATTCATAATAGGCTCTATACAGTGTGTCCCACTTACCATTTTTAACGGTGAGAGATACGAGGTCGGTTAAATGACACCAAATGTGGAGTTTGTCAAGGCCAACTATAATGTGAAAAAATATTTTGATAAAATCTATTCGTTTTTGTTTTATACGCAAAAAACAGATTTTGATCATTTTCATGTCTCCTCCGTAACTTCTTTATTTATGAAAATATTCAAATAGGAATTTCACATTCTCATGGCAGTTTTTTAGAGTGATTTCGAAAAAAATATGAAATTTATACCAACTCTTCTAGAATTTGAGATATCAGCACCAACTTTAGTTTTTCAAATGTAGGTCATAGCTCACTATGACTTAGTTACAAATAACTTTTTTTTCTCTTACAGATGATATGTCGCAGTAATAGTTTTGTGTTGATACCAATGGAGTTATCGTCATTTATACAAAAACAAAAAATTATTTGGAAGCCACCATCTTGAATTTATAAATTTTTACAAAAAAATCATGATCTCCTACCTCAAAAACCCCCACTTACCAATTTTGAATGGAATCAGACCAAATTTTGTCCGCCATCTTGGAGCAGCCATTTTTTTTAATTTCAACGAAAATTCCATAATGTATTGTCACCGAAATTATGAACAACTGCCAAATTTCAAGTTAATCGGAGTTATCGAATTTTTGTTGAAACTAAAAAGATGGCTGCTCCAAGATGGCGGACAAGATTTGGTCCGATTCCATTCAAAATTGGTAAGTGGGGGTTTTTGAGGTCGGAGATCATGATTTTCTTGTAAAAATTTATAAATTCAAGATGGCGGCTTCCAAATAATTTTTTGTTTTTGTATAAATGACGATAACTCCGTTGGTATCAACAAAAAACTATTACTGCGACATATCATCTGAAAAAGAAAAAAAAGTTATTTGTAACTAAGTCATAGTGAGCTATGACCTACATTCGAAAAACTAAAGTTGGTGCTGATATCTCAAATTCTAGAAGAGTTGGTATAAATTTCATATCTTCTTCGAAATCACTCTAAAAAACTGCCATGAGAATGTGAAATTCCTATTTGAATATTTTGATAAATAAAGAAGTTACGGAGGAGACATGAAAATGATCAAAATCTGTTTTTTGCGTATAAAACAAAAACGAATAGATTTTATCAAAATATTTTTTCACATTATAGTTGGCCTTGACAAACTCCACATTTGGTGTCATTTAACCGACCTCGTATCTCTCACCGTTAAAAAGATACCCATGGTGAGCATGGTAAGTGGGACACACTGTATACATGCACAGCACTTTATTGCACCAGAGCAACATGGGTTTGTTAAGCAAAAATCAACTGTCACTAATTTAATGATCTTTAGTCAAGATGTAGCATCGGCTCTCGACCAGTGCAAGCAGGTAGATGTCATTTATACAGACTTAGCTAAGGCTTTCGATAAAGTCAACCACGAGGCATTACTCAGTAAACTAAAGAAGTTCTCAATCAATGAAAATTTAATATCATTTTTGGAATCATATCTGTATAACAGAACTCAATTTGTTCAATTCAATAAACATCGATCGGATTTCATTGCATTATCAGGAGTACCCCAGGGATCAATTTTGGGTCCATTACTTCTCATTCTTTTTGTGAATGACATTGTAGATTTTATAAAAACATCTAAGTTTTCATTGTATGCTGATGATTCGAAGCTATATAAAATAATCAATGACGAAAATGACAAAATTTCACTACAACAAGACCTTGACAGACTCATCTCGTTCTGCAAGTTAGATGACCTTCTACTGAATGAAAATAAATGCAAAACTCTATCATTTACTCGTAAAACTAATCCCATTGATACAGACTACTGGGTGAATAAAACTAGACTAGAAAAGGTACAAAATCTGGGGGTAGTTTTTGAAAAAAAAAATACAGTTTCACCTCATATCAAGAATATTGTGAAGGACAGTTACAGAAAGTTCAGTTTTGTGCTTAGAAATTCATATCAGTTCAACTGTAAAACCGGAATACTTCTATCCCATGCTTTTGTACGACATAAACTAGAATATGCCTCAGTTATATGGAATCCCCACACCATTGTATACTCCGAAATGATAGAAAAAGTACAAAGGAAATTCCTGAGAAAACCTTCACTACAGGAAACACAAAGAATCTGCTTTTATGATCTCATACAGAACTCAACTGTTGGAATTTGAGCAAAGAACACTAGAATCCGTGATAAATTGAATGTACCTGAGTCATATAAACATTCATTTACCTGAAGTAAAACTACTGAGAAGAAATAATATTATTTTCTACATTGATGTTAAATCTTGCTCATCCTTAGGAGATTGCCAAAGAGCTGTAAATGAATATAACTGTGATATAGATATTTTTACATTTAGTAGTAGTGAAATTAAAGGCAGTTCTCCATCTCCTTAATATTCTCAAAAATTCATAGTTATAGGCTAGTACATATATTAATATTTAAAAAGCTGTTAGGAACGTCTTGATTTTATATCTTTACTCAACTGTTTTCCCCAGAACATGAGTGTATCGTAATCTTTCTGTGTACTGTATTTTTTCTTTTCTTTTTTGTGTAGTGTATTTTACTTTAAGATAGGAACCCAAATAGAAACTGTCTGTCTGTAATTGGGCCATGGCCTGTTGATTTGGCAGTATAAATAAAGTGAATCGAATTGAATTTCCAGGAGTGGAATATTATCAGATCATTGGTCAGGAATAATAATCAGTGCCGAATTTAGGGGGGGGTATGGGACTATCAGCCCCCGGCGGTGAATTTTAAGAGGCGGTAGAGAAAAAAGATAAAAAGCAAGCAGCAATATTGTCGGCACCGCATCAAAAGAACTTTTTTGAGATACTGTTTTTGTGAAAATCATAATATGCACTAATCTAGCGTCAGCTGTGTCTTGATGATGAGAAAAAAACGCATTTTACTCAGTAGAGAAGGGGTAATTTCGTGATTCGTCTAACTCAATAACAGAAAACAAAATCAGAGTTCAGTATTTAATAGGTTGTCGTTAGTATGGTTGGTAATGGTACCGATAATAAATAAATATTGAAACGACAATCATCAAAAAAATTAAGAAAAGTATTTTAGTATTCATCTGAAAAAAAAAAATTTGTTGATTGTTGTTATGTTCAACGTGTGAAGTAAATATAATTTGATTCGTTGTACATGATGATTTCATGTTACTGTTATATGCTGTAAAAAAAGCAGTGGAAGGGTTATTTGAATTTCGAAACTGACAATTGAAATTTAATATTTGGCGGCGGCGCGGTGGCATCGTAAAAGTTAGCACCCGGCGTAAGGGAGTATAAATCCAGCACTGATAATAATTCATCATCCTCCTCAGGTGATGCGCGAACCGGTGACCTGCAGCGACGGCTACACGTACGAGAAGAACGCCATCACCGAGTGGTTCATGTCGGGTAAGCGGACCAGCCCGATGACCAACGAATCGCTGGTCACCACGGATTTCGTCGGCAATGCGGATTTGCGACACGCGATCAGGGACTTTTTGGAGATGTGAGACGGACGTTCAAAAAGTGAGATGGAAGCTCAGTTCATGTAGAGTGAATACAGTCTGTCCAAGATAAGGTTGCACAGCATGGGGATCTCGGAAACGGTAGGAGATACGAAGTCGTTTGAATGGGGAAAAAGTTGCGCATTTGAAAGCTCATACCAACAGCCTTCGAAAATTTTCAAAATTGTTTTTAGTTTTCCAGTTATAGAAGTCTAAAAATAGGTCGAAACACATTTAAACCACCTTGTATAATACATGGTTGTATTCAGAATAACAAAATCTCTCAGAGTCTGTGAAAAAATTATCAAGACCGTATTCAAAAAACAAAAGTTGATGATGGTTCTACGAATACGAAACGTCGCATAAAAATATCGGTATCACCACGTTAAACTTCATCGGAAGTTGCTATTATAAAGTATTCTCAGTATTCATGTATCTCAAATAATAACGGAGAAAAAAATGAAATAGATATTCCAAAAATTCACTCTTTTCGATATAACTCAAAAAATTAAAATAATTTCGAAAATTTATGAAGGCTGTTGATATGAGCTTTCGTTTTCGAGATCCCCATGCTGTGCAACCTCATCTTGGACAGACTGTATATAAAATAGGGTGTGTTTTTCATTCCAACGAAGAAAGTCATCACTGAAGGATGTGTCTTTTTGTAGTGACGTCACCGATTTCCTGGTGGAATTTATGATGGAACCGATGCTGCAATAGAATATACAACACCGATTTCGTTGTATGCCAGTTTGTCAGGTATCTTCAGACTTAGAAGAGGGTGATACGATTTTATTGATTACCACCAATACCATCTTCTAAAATCTCTCAAGAACCTCAAAAATCCTCAATATTTTTTGTTTTCTATCAAATCAAAACAAAAATCTATACTAAAAATGTGTCAATTGTCATGTCAATCTCTTCTAAACCCCTAGATTCTCTCAAAGAAATTTGTAAGTGTGCATTTAACAACAACAGTCCTTAAGATTTTCGTCAACATTTCAGCGGAATTTTGCAACAGTTTGATGGTTTTTTCGATTCATGCGCATGACAAAATGTTGGAATGAAAAACGCACCCATATAGTGGCGACAATGGTGATGCACTTTCTGATAGGACCTCAAATATGGAGGTGCTTCCTCCTTCCCCTAGATTTTCTACAGCATTCCTACACATTATATGTAACTTTGTCACTGTTTCTCGCTCTTTGGAGACAAAATAACCAACAATCAGACATGAAACTCTTTACGTCTTTGATATAAACTATTAGAATCCATCTTTTGGGAATGAATTTCAGATTATTGAAATAGATAATTGAAAATATCAAATATCTAACCTATCGTTAGTTCGGCACTTCGAAGGCGCAAATTCGTTACTGCATGGGCGATACCCTTCAGATTTTTAGCCATTCAGTGAGATGACTATGAATTGCAGTGACGTTTTAGTCTTCTACGTTACCAAAAATCAGATGCCACGAATCTGCTGTTGCCATGAATACCAACTTTTAGTAGTCTTTGTTTTCTTTTTGTTGATATTTGTATTTAACTGACACTAACATCATGGACGGCAACCGGAAACGGAACCAATTTTTGGATGTCTATTGTCGCCACTCTATTTCATATAGTCTCTACGTTGATGAACTATAGGTGGCGCTGTGGTTAGAGTTGTGCAAGATTGGTAGAACTTATGATCATTTGTGGCAGTGAAAGTGGCAATTCGTGACATAATCTCATTCGAGGTTCCATGTTGGAATCATGGAAATGTGGGCATATTTCTAGATCACAACTGGATAGGTGAATCTACTTGAAGATAGTTGTAGATTATAGATTCCCAAGACTGTAAAATGGAATTTTCAATGGGATTACGTCACGAATGATCACTTCCCCTCAGTAGTATAAGATTTTCCATGTTTTTGCAGTTTTCATAATTTCGAGTCGAGTTCATACACGGTGGACCTTGACTAATTGTATATAAAAGTGTGGTAGGTTTATGACTTCAGGTTGTCAAAATTTTAATTTTGAAATTCATTATTCTTTGCGATAATCTCGACGTTTTTAAATATGGATGAATGAACATTTCGAAACTAGTACTATGAATGCGTTTTCTAGAGTGCGCCACATAGGCTTCTCAACCTTTTTGTTGTTTAGGTTAGCGCCGTTTTTATTCAAAAATATCAAGAACATATAATTTCAACAAAAATAAGTTATACTTGTTATTGATCCGAAAACACGACCGTCTTCGAGATAATCGATTTTTTTTAATCAGCTGCATATAGGGTTTGCAATCCCGGAGTAATAATACAATCCCGGGCCCGTTATTAAATTCATACATAGCCGGGATCCCAGGATTTCGGTATGGGGATTAGAAGTTGAAAAAGTATGGAGTATCCTGTAGATAAGTGATGATTACATAAATACTCGTATATGAAAAAAAAAACGAACATTTATTACTCACAGTGTTGACTGAACCAGGAGCGTACAAAAATCCACTCGTAAAGGGTATTATCTGCGAGTCGAGTGCTGATTTTTGTGCAAATGGTACCAGCTGCGGTGGTATAGTTCTTAGAAGATCATGATATGCCAGCTGAAGATATGTACATACCTCTGTTGTCACCATTTTCGAAAAGGGTAATGCCCTTTGTTAAATTAGATATCTTATAGCGCAATCGAAGTGGGTGCATCGCGTTTTTTCAATGCTTCATTCAACATTTTTTTTGTTCGAGGTAGAGGTTGCGTCAGACTTTTGACTTGCAAAAGAGATTCTATATCCTAATCATCTTGTTAATCAAATATTGCCTCTGAAACTTTAAAGAAACGTTTTATATGACTCACGAGTATCTTCATAATAACTTTTTTTCAGGAACTTCGAATAATTATAATCTGATTCACTTGACGAGAGCGAAAACTCGAAAATGCCGGGATCTAATCGGATGTGATCCCGGAATCTAATCGGATGTGATTCCGGAATTCTCGGTATAAAAGTATCACTAGGACCCCGGGATTTCCGGTATCGGTATTTCGGGATTGCAAACCGTAGCTGCATAATTCTCAATCAATTAGTCTATGCTACTAATGTTTTCACAGCTTGTAAATATCACCGTAGCAGGGGAACATCAAGTATGATTTTGAAAGCTGAGAACGAACACCTTATTTTTTCATTATTGATCACTTCTGTAATTTTTTTTGTAATTGATGAAGAGCTTTCAAAATTATTCCTAATATTCGCCTACTAGGTCAATATTTCAAAACTATGAAAACATTATTAGCGTAGACGCCTACTAAGTTCCCATAATGGATTGAATGAAATCTCAACAGCTGATTTCTAAAATCTGATTATCTAGAATACTACCGAAATTTAGGATTGATACAAGTGTAACTCAAGTTCTTTCAATAATTGCTTCTGCCAAATTTTTGGTTTAGAGTCTATGATTGTTCATCAATCGTGACGTGACGTGATTTCACATATTTCGATTAATAAGATGGACAGTTGGGAATTGAGTCGAAACAGATTTGGAATTTTCAAACAGCAAGTTGAAAAACCTTGAAATGTGTGATCTACGTAAATCACCCTGTATGTACTTGGCGAGTTAACTTGAAAGGAATGATTGAAATTTGCAAAGTTAGATACGCTCGCTGATGGTTATTACCTACCAAATAAACATTGTTGGCCTCTAACACTCATAAGAATTTCTGATTTATTGAAGTTTTTCCATATCATGTATTTCTATTGACTGTAATTGAGACATGTTCGTGTGTGAACAAGTAAAATAACGTTGCAATACCAAGACTGCATTTTTAAACTAAATTAGTGCCTTTACAGTTAGTTCATTAGTAATGATTTGTAAAATAAAATTAGGACAGAAACTTGAAAACATCACCATTTAATATCTCACAAGAATGTTAATATTTCGATGGTAGGGTTGATTGTATTGTATTCTATGCATGAATAAAATCTTGTCATTATCATAAGTTTCAATACCAAATATTATGTTTAAGGTATCCATTAAACACTTGGCAATATTATTATTCTAATGAAACACCATGTTCACAATTTTATATAGATATACCAAACTATTTGAATAAATGTTGTTACATGGCGAACGAGATATTTTTCAAATTTAATCCCAAAATTGCCATACCCTGTGTATGGCGTTAGTCCGGTCGCAGAACCTTGGAGAGAACCAGAAACGTGTAGTCTACAGTAGAGTCACTGGATGGTATTGCCCTTTCCTATTTTTTATATTACAATAGTTTTTCTGCAACCGAAACCAATGTCCATTTTGATACCAAAATTAGCTCTTGAATTGACGTTTGTATTACTTATACAAACAGGTATGTTGCTAGGCAACACTTTTGGTTCCTTGGAGCTAAAGTTAGGCACTAAAAAGGATGTACTAGGTCATCAAGAACAATAGTAGATTGTTTTATTAGGATCAAAAGTGACACTTTGTTTGACAAGCGAATTTTGCATTTGCGAGGCGGAGCGTTTAGCGAAGCCGAGCGAAAGCAAAATTTGCGAGTTGAACAAAGTCACTTTTGATCCGAATGAAACATGCTATTTTTTCTGCAACCGAAACAATTAACTCAAATAAACATGTTAAGTAACCACCAATGCCGTGCCATATGTATGCAATGCAACAAATATTGACAAATAATCCATGTGGTGAGAATATTCTACCTGCATTAACAGCAGGTTGGGTTTTCTAGGATGTTCGAATTGTAGTTCCAATATGAATACAACCACAGAGTGACATATTTGTGTATGGACCAGGTGCTCTAATGGCAAATACCGCGCGGTGGTAACTGCCAGTGCCAGCTATAGGAACAAGACGTGGAAAATGTTAGGTTAATGAGCATATCAACAATGATAATAGTGATTATTTATTCCTCTCCATACAACACTGTGTTAGACTTGATAATCAAATGAAGCTAGACAATATCGTTGTTTGAGACAAAAAAACTATTGCTTGCCGTGATTATTCAAAAACAAGTTATCCATCCCGAGAATAACAAATGAAATACAGATCACGCAAGTATTTGAATCTTCAAGGCTTCCCTGATCAAAACAAAAATACTTGACTGAGATGTTTATATAATTTCAATACTAAACTATAATAAGGTGTATTTATATCTCCAGCATGGGTATTAAATGCCAAATCTGCTGAAATCGGACACAAATCAGGTATGTGTCTCAACCCAAATAACCAACCGTCACAATGTTGTTCATTCTTGATGACGTCCAGTAGATCCTTTTTAGTTCCTAGGAGCTAAAGTTCAAATTTAGCTCCTAGGAACTAAAATTCAACTTTAGCTCCTAGGAACTAAATATGTTGCCTAGCATGTTGTGACAGTAATAGAAACGTCAATTTAAGAGCTAATTTTGGTATCAAAATGGACGACTTTTGTGTCGGTTGCAGAAAAACAATATTCTTATGGTTGGTTATTTGGGTTGGGACGCATACACCTGATTTGTTCCCGATTTCGTCCGATTTGGCATTCAATACCCATGCAGGAGATATAAATACACCGTATTATAGTTGAGTATTTTTGTTTTGATCAGGAAAGCCTTCAATATTCACATACTTGCTTGATCTGTATTTCATTTATTCTCGGATCTGATTGATTGAATATAACTTGTTTTCGAATAATTACGGCTAGCAATACTTTTTTGTCTCACACAACGATATTGTTAATCTTCATTTGATTACCCAGCCAGACACAGTGGAATATGGAAAGAAAGAAATGGTCGCTATTATTTTTATTGATATGCTCACTAACCTAACATTTTCCACTTCTTTTTCCTATACCTGGCACTGGCGCGGTATTTGCTATTAGGGCAGACACCTCTGGTCCAAATGAATTCATCGATTCAATAAAATACACATATGGGTCACTCTGTGGTTGTATTTATATTGAAACTATAATGAGAACATCGTTGAAAATTGAATAAACCTGATCTGTAAATGCAAGTAGAATATTCTCACCACACGGATATTCGTTGCATTTCATACATATGAACTGTGGGAGTCTTCAGAAATTTTATCAGCTACTATAGTTCGACTCGCCAAAGAACGAACGGGAGAGGATGAAGACGTTCAGTACGCTGGGCATAGAGTATCTAAACAATTCGGTTTTGATTACGTCGCTTTCATCAATTCACGAACGATATGACTGACTGCACCACCATTTGAATCGGCTATTATTAAAACGGATCAAGGGACATGTATATAGTTTTGAGAAAACTCGAAAATACCCTGTATTGCCGACAATAATCAATTTACCGAATCGATAATAACTGAATGTTAGAATAGAGGTTCCAAAATATCGTTTCTTAATGGTGGATGGTAATATGAATGTGCAATTTCAGAGATATTTGTGTTCAAAAAAATTTAACATAGTTCTTTTCAATAATACACTGGAAAATTTACCATAACACATGAGTACTAAAAATTCGGAACTCATTCCAAGAAAAAATGAGACACAAATCTTCTTCAAAAATATCGAATTAATCATGTTGATTTGTGTTGGTCTTTTTTGCTCTTCTTTCTGAAATATCTATCAAGTTTCTATACAATGGAATATTATCCTGATCCACCCACTGAATCAGTTTTTTCAGGTGTTTTATTAGTATATAGAATCGAAATTTCATCGACATTAGAAGCCAACAAAGAAGAGTATACTTTTTATTTTGTTTGGCAGATGTAGCTTCACAGGAAGGACTTCTACCAAAGATTGGGCCCGGTGGTCGAGAGCGCAAAGGCGCTGAGTTCGTATAGGGACTCCCCCCGAGGCATGGGTTCGAATCCCAGTTAGGCCATGGATGTTTGTAAATGTATGCTTTCCTAACCCCGCACAAGTTTCGACATATGGGGCGTTGGATCCAGTGCTGGATCCAACGAGGAAATGCAATTGAAAAAAAAAGATTAGATGTAGCTTGTTATATCAGTCCATTGATAGAATCGAAATCGGGTGATCTCGTGCGTGAAGCCAGGATTATATTTATCGTGTTTAATGTGATGAGTTTTATTGGTGGAGAATGATACCAAATAGATCAACTGTCAGCTTGATGCATTCAGATGTGGAATTATTAAAAGGAACCAAGTACATGGACAAGGTAGCTTGCATTCAAAAGAGGAAATTATTAAAAGGAATCAAGTACATGACCAAGGAACCTTTTGAAAATATACTGTTTCCGACCCAATCGAAATATCTAGTATATATTCCTCATTCATGGTTCTTTTTGAAACTAAACGATGAGCCTTTGCATCAAACTTGCGGAAATATATTAATCGCACAATGGCCGATTTGTAACTTAGTTCCTTTTAATAATAACCGATTCATTTATAGCAAGCGCTTGAGATTCCGTTTTTAAATTGACAGTGAGTGGATGATCGCAACATTTATATTGTGCTCTGGGCTCACATTATTTGCTTCGGTCATCTATTTAACGAGTCAGTCTATAAATGCATGTGCTCAATAACTTCAATTATGACAGGAGAAAAAATAAGAGAGAGTATCAATCTCATTGAGTCTTTAATTGTTAATGAAAAACTAATTAAAGACAAAATATTCTTACTTACCAGTGAAACAATTTAATATGAAATTATTGTAATGAGCGGATTGAAAGAAGAATCAACTGTCCTTGGATTCTTGATTCATCTTCTGCTTCTTTCTACGGAAAGATCTCTTCTGACTGTCCTTGGTGCTACCTAGTAACTTCCCTTGTTGTCTGAGCGCTCCTAGTTTAAAATTCTTCACTTTTATTTCTTTCTTCCTATCTTCCCCCTTCTTCTTGCCTCCCTGCGTGTACAAGACATTTATTCGACGTCCTTTCATTTGCGAATGGTGTCTTGACAAACATTTCTGCAAAAAAAATACATTTGGTATCACGTAATCAACTAGCGCAAGGTTTCACTGACCTCCTATAAAGAACAAATGGAAGGACATGGCTAATAGGCAAGGACACACACAAATGCGTGAATTCAATTTAATCTATACTAATATCATAAAGAGAAAAGATTTGATTATTTGTTTGTTTGTATGTATTTATGTATTGAATAGGCTCCGAAACTACTGGATCGATTTGGCTGAAAATTGGTGGGGAGGTACCTTAGAACCAGGAGAAGGTTATAGGATACTTTTCATCCCGGTACCATCAAAATGGCGGATCTAATAAACAGGGTGATTCTCATAAGAACCGACATAGAGCAGAGGCATGTAGGGGGTCCCAAAATATGGCAATTTAACGCAACTTACCTCTATACCAAGTTGCTTCCCTAAGTGGCCAGGTAGCCGTGCGGACAGAGTGTCCATATTCTAATCCGCATTCGCTTGCCGGTCGTGGGTTCGAGTCCCGTCGACTGCAGAAATTTTTCTGATGGCCCAAGAAAGTGTTTGGGATCACACGTTAAAAGGTAAGGCCCCCGTCATTCCTTGCTCGCACAAGACTCTCGAAGACTTCTGAGGGTTGCTCGTAAGGGGACAACCGAATGACGGATAGAACAATTTTAGAACAATTTTTTTTTAGAATATTAGGCTTTGAAAGTGAAGTTATAAATTTTGAAAAAAATCAATATCTTCGTTATTCTTGAACTTAGAGCAACCAAATTTGGTACACTTTGTGGATGTATTTAGGGCGTTACTTGACAGTAACTAGAGTTTAATTGGAATTTGTAAAGGGGGTAAACCCGTGGGCGCACCATTAATATTCAACATAATTTTGTTAACCTTGATGGATTTCAAAAATCTTTACTTTGTTTTGTGGGCAATTCAACTCTAAAACTTTTCTTACTCGAGTAATTTTTCAGAAAACCTCATCATTTTCATCAAAAACTCGAATAACTGAAAACGCGCGCTCTAGGTGTGTTATTTAAAATCATCGAAAATTCAAAAGTTGGCTATGAAAATAAACGTCAAACTTGACAATGAGGCAAGTGAGTTGTTCAATTAAGTAATTGTTGTTTGAGTGTTTTTAAAATGAACGGGAAGTTTTCTTTTCACGAGCAAGTTGACATGCTGTTAGTGATATGCCTATAACTTCCTTAGGGAAGTAACTTGGTATAGAGGTAAGTTGCGTTAAATTGCCATATTTTGGGACCC